CATGCAGAACACTGGATATTTTTAACAAATCTTTTGTTTTTGTTTTATCACTGAGGGAGACCTATGCCTATGTCCAGCAGTGGACGTCCTATGATGGTGATCATGATGAAATAAGGCCACAAAATTAAGACACTGGCTTTGAGATTATATGGATGGACATTATATGCAATCATTAAAACACTGACTTTGAGATTATATGGATGTATATTATATTATGTATATTTAATAGGGGAGACCGAGGAGAGTTATAACAGAGGAGAGTTGTGCGCGTTTTTAGTTCAAGTCTCGTGCTAACAATTGCGCGTTGTTGCAAGATCACTGATAGTTATTAGGTTTCCAAAAATCGACAATATCACAACCCTCATCGGTCACAACTCTCCTCGGTCTCCCCTAACTATGTTTTAAGCTTAAAAATTAGCCTCTAACGGTAATTTAAACCAAATTGTTTCAATCTTAAGCTGAACCTCGTGTAACTTACATTGTACGAGTATATTGTCTTCATGTACATAAACCGCTGGTATTTACTGTGGTATAAACATAAAATGAGAACTGTTTGTGGGCGTAGAGTGTAATAAAACTACTGAAGTGTCAAATAAACTCGGCTAAGAGCTCAGATACATACTTTTTGGGGTAGATTTGTGTTCTATTCTCATTTTTACCCGATTACGCCAGAAGGAGGGTTATGTTTTTTAAAGTTATTTGTCTATCAACTTATGTAGACTTCAGAATCGTTATCTTCTCTCAAGCAGTTAAAGTGGAACTCTTTGATAAATAATAGGCTTTCATCAAGTACATAATATTAAATTCAAATCCAAACAAGAAAAAACTACTTATTTATTGAATGATTTAAGAAAATTCTCAGCAAATAAGTAGGTATAATCTTGTTCAATTCAATAAATTGAGCAATAGTAAGATACAATTAATGTCCTATTAAGTGACATTATTATTTTAAGCCTTACATAACATCTGCAAAATTCAAACACTATCACGAACTTAAAAGCGGACAACGCCATCTCTTACCGAAATAATGTAAACAAGTTGTACCGACTTTTAGTGCTTATTGTTCGTGGTGGCGAACTTACTCATAAAACTTATCTATTTTTGCAAATAGGCTCTAAAAAGCACTTTTATACGACCCTGTATTACCTACTACTGCTTCGGGACAATAAATGGGTCAGTGCTGAGAAGAAGCAGCGCAAGAAACTCAGTCACTATTGTCAGCCTCCTTTTTAAGGGTTTACAGTCTTTAAAACATACAAATTATAGTCATAAGTATTGATGTGAGCAATACACCAGTAATCCTCTGTAATGTATTCTCATATACAGCTATGGGCTTGTAAGCAAAGTATCTTTGTTAGCATACAAAGTAATACTAAACAAAATAGGTCATTCATACAGCCCTAAAAATAGCAACAGGCTGATGCCAACTTCACATTGAAATCCAGACTCAAAAGTCTTATACTTAAGGTTCAATTTCCTTCACGCCAAGAGGTCTGTCATAGCGTATCGCACGAGAGAGCATTTCGGAAATGTTGTGGAAATTGTATGCCAATCAACATGCCAAAGACTTAAAAGCGACCTTATTACGTAACCATAAGAGCGTTGAGTGAAACAAAGGTGGCGATGGAAAAAACATTTGAATGTCAACAGAGCATATTCAATATTTGGGAAACAGTGTTGTGCTGTGCTTTAGTTTTGAAATAATAATTAACTCTGATTAATTCCGTATAAGTAAACAATCTACTCCATTTTCCATAATGTTAATTAGGTACACTCATTATAATAATTCATATTCTTGATCATTTTACACTACGTCCTCTAGTCCCAAACTAAGCACAGCTTGTACTATGGGTGGGTAGCCCATACAACGGATAAATATACTTACGCCAGTATTCACATACGATGCTTACTTAAGTGAAGGAGCAAATCGAACGCACAGGTTGAATAGAGCTCTGTGACTGATTCATGTGTCACCCTGTTCGTTCACGCGCACTGTGAGACCTCATAGTAGGTAATATGTTTGTGAATACGGGCAATAAATATTTGGTCCTAAGTACATACATTTATCATGTAAAACCCAGACCCATACATAAAATTATGTTCTTCATTATTACCAAATAACTTCAGTTTGTTTTCTGCGACAAACTGAATTTCACGCGGGCGCAGCCACGGGCAAAAGCTAGTCTTACAAAGTTTCCTACTACCCTCTCCGTTAGTCGTGTACAATTCGAATACGTACTAATTGTCTTACGCAACTCAGCCTAAGTCGGGCAACTAAGTTTAGCAACAGAACCAACGTAAAGTTAGTACATACACACAGGGTGATGTAATTATCTAGGCAATGAGCACAGTTCTAGGAAGATAGACTGGGACTAGGCTTCGGAACTATGCAAAACTTTAGCAAGATTTTCGCATAACAAAATTATAAATGTACTTGGAGAAGAAATAATAATAGAATTAGATGATTCTACCCACCATACGGATCGCGCACTCGACGCTTCAGTCAGCCTGTGACCACGGCCGGTGCAACTAGGTTGAAACGTCATTCAAATACAGGTAATGTTTCAATGTTACCTATCCGCGTATCGCGTTAAAACCTGTTTAAATTAATTCAAAATTAAATGGTTAAATAACCCAATTTCTTGGTTATGTTTTTTTTTGTGTTCAGCGGCTATTCTAGTTCTATAAAGTCCTAGTATCACTACGACCGTTATCTATATCTATTGTGATCACCACTATTTTCCTTACAGTTCGCCTCCGAGTCCTGCATCCATTAGGTAGAGCAGTATCTTTTGGGGACGATAATATGTTTTACATTCTGTGGGTGGTTATGTCTTATTAAAACTAGCTTTTAGCTACTTCTCTTGCGAAAGTTTCGGTCGGTTACAGAAAAACTTGATTATGTGCTAGTCGCCCTGAAAAAACATGAATAAAAAATAATCTAATTTTTTTCTTGGATCTCTAATTTTATTTGAGATCTGTATCTCAAATGTCGTCCAAATAAATTCAGTGGTTTAAGCCTGAAAGAGTAAGAAACAAACATCCATCCATCTCACAAACTTTCAATATAAGTAGTAGACTAGTGCCCGTTTTCACCATCAATTCCTCATTTTTAAGTGACCCCTATAAAAACAAAATGTCTGTTACTCGTAATTGTTACCATAAGGGTCACTTAAAAATTAGGGATTGATGGTAAAAACGGGCATAGTACTAACAAAAATAAAACTGAGTGAAAAGTTGCTAACATTACGTTCACTATAGCGATAAAGACATTTTGCACAAAACCACCTTTACAAAATCCAGCATCTCTTTCTAAAATTAGTCACTGGACTTTAAAAATCTGGCAACAAGTAAAAAGACTAAAAGCTGTAATTACGGGAACGAACTAAAGCTCGGAGACAAAGCGTTGTAATCAACAGGCTAGCGTTCATTTGAGCCTAAGTTTTCGTTATTTCAGCCAAAAAACAATGGTTAGTATTACAAAGGGTTTTCACTAATTTCTGTTTTACCACGTGCATGAATGGGTTGAAGATTGTCTTTGTTCTGTACAGGTAATTTTTATGTGTTTTAGCTTTTATAAATGCGCAAAGAACGTCTGTATAATTGTATCTTTTAGGCCTGACCTATACCTAACGAAAACCACCACCACCCACAAGGTGGACCGACGACATCATAAAGGTAGCAGGGAAGCGCTGAACGCAGGCCGCTACCAATCGATTAACATAAGCATTGGGGGAGGCCTATGTTCAGTAGTGGACGTCCTATGGCTGAAATGAAGATGATGGTGATGATGACCTATACAATATATTTTGAATTTGAATTTGAATTTGAATTTGAAAATATTATGATTCATTTAGAGATTGTAAAAGTACATCATCATCACAATCATTCAATTATGCTTTTAGTCTTGATTGCAGAAGCACAGCCCTCTCTAATTTGGTACCAGAGACAAATAGAGGGCCTTGCCCATACTCTCCATGCTAGCCAGATGCTTTGGGGGAGACCCCCCATATTTGTCCCTTAGTCACCTTTAACGATATCCACGTGGGAAAATTATTCCACTAATCACATAAAGAATTAGTGACATAGGGGATGGATGGAAGTGACTAAAGAGAACAATGACATATTCTTATAATTATCTTTTTGTACGAACCTTTATTATGAGACAAAACTTTAGTTTATAATGTAACAGCTGTGCCTACGTGAGTTTCACAAAGTTATTTAATCTGAAATAGAGTTATGTGCGTATTCTGACCTTGTTATTGATGTCAAAAGCAGACTCGATATGAACACGTAATATTCATTAATATGTGTATTAATGTCTATGTCTACATCCTTTCATTACAAACACCCTCGTTATAGATTTCATTTATTATTTTCTTTGTATTTCTTCTATGATAGAAAGTAAGGTCTAAATTTTTCATCAAGTTTTCAGTGTTTTTTCTGCACTCATCAAATGTTTGTCTCGAAGCAATGGCAAAAATAACTTTAAACTTTTTGTTTTAAAGATTTTTGACGACTTTTAAGCACGATCGGCACATAAACGAGATAAGTTTTTTAGCAATAATACTACGATTAGTTAGAATTACGTCAAAAACAACAAACAAGCCTATTATTTTTACTTAAATTTTCAAAATGACAGTCCATTAGCGATTCTAAGAAGATTGTACGAGCTTAAAAGTAACACGTTATTTTATCCCTGAAAAATATCCTTAATTCAAATCATTGGTGAAATAACTAAGTATTATTTATTATTATTGTTTTAAAATTACAAAATTGTACAGCTTATAATTATCACAGTTTTTAATTAGACAATCAATTATTAGAGCTAATGAGTTTTTTAAAGACGCGTTTTGGAAATTTGGGTTAATGGTGTCAAAATATCCAATTTACTCAAAAAAGTATTACTGTCTCTGCTTGAGCATAGGTTAACTGGCAGAGAACGCCCACTGGCATTAAGCCCACCATTTATGCAATTATTATAAATACATTTTACTAACCTTAATAAGTCCAATGGAAGAGTCAGCTCGCTCCAGGCTGCAGATGCTGAACTGGATGGAAGGCAGGTCAAGGCGGTGCGACAACTGACGCTGGAAGGTCTGGTGGCGGTCTGGCACGATAGGGAGCGTGGTCTGCCGGAGGACCTGGTGGAAAGATAAGAAGGTGGTTTATTTCTCTGCAACGTAGACCATTATGCACCTACTACTCAAACTTTCTGCTTGACCCAAAGGTTGCTCGAGTGAAAAGTATTTTGTACTCTGATATTACCAAGTCTTTAAATTAATCAATGAATGGAATGGATGCAACAGCACAGAACCAGTCGTTGTGGAAATCATTGGAAGAAGCTTTTGTCAAGCAGTGGACGTCGTTTGGCTGAAAGGACTAACGAAATAAATCAATAATTAGATAGTACCAGAAGCACCTTTTAAAATCAGACAGAGCATTTATATCGTTTAATGTAACCTAAATTCAATTTTCCAGATGTTTATTGGACGGAAAAACAAAGGTTTTACTATGTGACATCCATTTGTTTCGGCACAAATCCTTAAAAAGGGGTCAGCAACACGTTATTTGTCTCATCTTATGAGCCGAAACACACGACGCCGGAGCGGTGTCGCTGCGCCATCTTACATAGAAATATCTGTGACGCGCACACGAGTGGTGCAGCGCCGTGTCACGCTATACGCAAAATCGTGTGCTTTGGCTCTCACTGACTGCTAGGTTCATGGCTTAATATGTGTGCTTTGCCTCTCACTAACTGCTAGGTTCGTGGCAAAATCGTGTGCTTTGGCTCTCACTGACTGCTAGTTTCGTGGCCTAATTGTGTGCTTTGGCTCTCACTGACTGCTAGGTTCGTAGCAATGTCTTGTATCAGCTTTATATCTGCCGAAGTTTAAATCTTTTCCAATATATCCAGAAGGATAAGAATCTTAAACTCTCGCGCGTTCTACCACTCACGTACTTTATTACTTTTATTATTTGGTCAAGTTAAACGGAACTGAGTTTAAAATTGACTCTATAAAATTCTTATGCATTGAAAACTTTAGATCATCCCAGATTCACTTATTCGAGTAACGGTTGTGAAATACATGCGTTAGCATAAACATGTTTGTCTATGCTTCGATGCACGTTGTTTATGGAATAAACTCTTTGATGAAACCACATCGGTCCCTAACATTTTGTTTAGTTAGATAACTTTCAGAGTAAAATAAGGCAAAACAATGGCCACGGACCTTTTTCTAAGCAACACATAAATTATCAATTAAGTCATTATACGATCATTTTATATAGGGTCTCCCAAAATTTGCATGTCACACTGACACCGGAGGTAGCTGGACCTAAAACTAAAAGTCTAATATTTCCATAGAAATTTTTCATGAGTATTAAGATTATGACTTATCTTAATGTATTTTCAAGTGACTTGATATACTTGTTCGATGAGTCTTAGGCCCATCTTTGGTGTACGTATGAAGTGCTAATTTTGGAACACCCTGTATTATGTTTTCACTAAATCAATTGCGTCATTCATTTTATTGCGCAGTTTTATGAAGGTCACAAAAATAAATATTATTCGAGGTTATTTAATCAGATAACTACTTAAAAACTTCATAACGAGTTTCTGCAGTAAGCTTGTGCCTTAATAAAACGCCGCTGAGCCACTGTAAATTATACTTAAAACGTAGAGCAAACTTCGCATTTAAGTGTTTGGTTAGCAGCTAGCATCTCAGAGTTAAAAATATATGGAAGTGTCAGTCCCATCTCTAAATTATGATTCAAATCCAAAATCGCGCACAATATCTCTCTTACAAATTGAGAATTCAGAATCTGACAAATTGAGAATTCGGAATCTTACAAATTGAGAATTTGTTCACTACTCAATTGATATTTGCACTGGAAAGAAGTCGTTCCTTAACATCAAACACTTAGAAGTTCTAAGAACCTTACGTTCTTCTGCTTAATTTAATTACGGGTCCAATGACTGTATAAATATTCCCTAGGGACAAACTTGCCCTTCACCGGTTAGGTAGGTGATAGATATTAGCTAGACAGGCGTGTATAGCGATGGAGACGAGAGGTGGGAATAGTCTGGATTTTTCTGTGCTATCAAAATGCGCTTCTCCCGCAATATACGAGTAAGTAGCATATTGACTTTATTCAACCGATATTGAAGTGTACAAAAATTATGTTTCTTTCTATCTCCTCCTTCTTCTTCTTCGTCGATACACTCTTGCCAGAGTGGTCGTGATCGTCACATCAGGTCGGTGGCAAGCCTCACAATCTGTCACCATTCCTCCCGCACTGCAGCCCTTTTTGTGCACTCGTGGAGTGGACCATTGAGTGCGATTTGAACCTGGTCAGTCCAGCGCATGGGCGACCTAACCCCTCAATCTTCCCCAGCACGACAAGTCATTCAACAGAAGCAACATCTCCACATGTAATATGGCCAAAGAAAGTGAGAATACATACGACTTTTGACGATGGAAGAAAGTCGCTGTTTGATATCAAATTCGTCGGCCGTTTGGTGTAGTGGTTCGAAACGGACTACTATTCCGGAGGTTGCGGGTTCGATTCCCGCACAGTACAAATATTTGTGTGCATGAACATATTTGTTTGTATTGGACTGGGTGTTTTCTATGTAATATTTACAAAAAAAAGTATTTAAGTATGTTTATAATATCCGTTGTCTAGTACCCATAGTACAAGCTTTGCTTAGTTTGGGACTAGAAGCGCAGTGTAAAATGTTCCAGGATATTTACTTATTTATAAAAAAAAAATATTTCTAGTAGATAGAACAGATTCTGTAAGCCAGAACTTAATAACCTAAATCTGTTTCAAATAAAGCATTTAATAACTTATCTTTTATAGTTCTTTAAAAATCTATTCCTAACATCTTTTCCAACATCTGTGTGCTACTGAGGTCTCTCTCATTAACTCGGTGTCTTGTTACACGATATTACACGGAGTTATGGCAACCAACCCATATTTACTACCAAGCGATTACGGCCACTTTATTAGTAGAGATTTTTCTTTAAACTATACAGGGTGTTTGGTGGAAGGTTAGACAAACTTCGTGGGTGTATAGGTGAGGTCTTTTTAAGAATACAAGTTCGCCCGTTTGACCCTAAGTGAGCTACTTTTTTAATTGACGTTTTTGTTTTTGTTTAATTTTGGTAACAAACCCATATTTACTATCCACTACCAAGCGATTACGACCACTTTATTAGTAGAGATTTTCTATAACCATATAAACTGGAATTCAGTTAGTTAAAAGAAGTATGAGCTTTATGTTTCATACATAGATCAATGTTAGAATCACTCGGCAGGGAAAAGATAATTGCTTATAGATAATTATATTAATCTTTTGTCTGATGGACAATTGGACATATAATATGATAAATAATACCTATCTACGAGTATGTTTTAAATGCTAAAGTTTCTTATTCTTAAATGGAGTTTAACACTTTTCTTATGTCAAGGGAAGATTACTTTTCTATACTAATATTACAAAGAGGAAAGATTTGTACCTATTTTTGTATGTTTGTATGTTTGTAATGAATAGGCTCAAAAACCACTGAACGGATTTTGATGAAACTTTACAGTATTATTGTTCATAATCCAGAATAACATATAGGCTATAATTTATGACGATCTGTGACAAACGAAATTTCGGGCGAAAAGCTAGTTATTTATATACAAACGGCCACAATTTAGCAAATAAGTGAATGTCATGTAAGTATATTAAAAAATAACTTACGGAATAAAATTAAGAATTTTACTATACGAGTAAGATAGAGATCGTGCCCTTACCTTAAAAATCCCAGTTACAAGAGCCAAAGAAAGATGCTATCAGTAGATTCTTTGTCTGGCTAAATAATTCACTTTACCTACAATAGTGTTGTAACAAATAATAAGCACCTATGTTTACGAATATTTAGTTTGAGTCTACTTTCAATGAATAAAATTATTTTGAGTAAAGAAATACACTATACTGTATACATAATAGTATTTTCACAAACATAAAATTTAATCTGCTTTACTAAAGTAAACATTTCGATAATCGCATTAAATATTAAGCGTGTTTTGATAATAAACTTCAATAAAAATAATATGTCTTGTGCTTATTTACATCACCATAAAATAAAAAATAATAATTAAATAAATAAATATCCCTGGACATTTTTCACTACGCTTCTAGTCTCAAACTAAGTAAGACATCCTTCAACTAGGTAGTATGATCAATTAGAGGATTGTATGTTATCTATGAAATAACCTAAAAACGTGTCCCTTACGCCCGTACTCACAAACGATGCTTGCATAAGTGAAGCAGCAAATCGAACGCACAGCGTTGAATAGAGCTATGTGATTGGTTCGTGTGTCACCCTGTGGGTCCACGAGCACTGTGAGAACTCATAGTATGAAACGGGCGTTAGTTTTCGTCGTATTCGACTATTAAATTCACATCACTAGTCTTAAAATCCCAACTAATATTATAAATGCGAAAGTAACTCTGTCTGTCTGTCTGTCTGTCTGTCTGTCTGTCTGTCTGTCTGTCTGTCTCTCTGTCTGTTACGCTTTCCCGCTTAAACCTCGCAACCGATTTTGATGAAATTTGGCATAGAGATAGTTTGAGTCCCGGGAAAGAACATAGGATAGTTTTTATCCCGGGTTTTGAAACAGGGACGCGCGCGATAAAGTTTTTCTGTGACAGACAAAATTCCACGCGGGCGAAGCCGCGGGCGGAAAGCTAGTGTATAATAATCTTGTAATTTATAAATTAAGCCGAAAGGGTCTCAGACCGGCCAGAGGCGATCTGCTTTGTATGATTATCAAAGGAATATCAGGTTACGTTGGAATGATAATTAATTGCGGTGTTACAGTTTATTTTGTGGAATAAACATTAATTAGAGGCTTGGAGATTAAACATTTATTGCTTACTGCATTATCAGAATGTTTATTTTATTGGTGATCGGAGAGTTACGATAACCTTCTTCAACTTTAAAAAGGTTTCGCGTTGCATAATTAATTACTTTAAACTTCAGGCAAATACAGGTAATATTTCAATGTTACCTATCCGCGTATCGCGTTAAAACCTGTTTAAATTAATTTTTAAACAGTTTTGTGAACACACTAACAAACAGTAAAT